AGAGGGTTAAACTGGGTGGCTCCCTAGAGGCAAGGATTCTGAGGCTTCGTCTGACATACTTTGGACATGTTGCCAGGAGGGACGGGTCCTTGGAGAAGGAGATCATGCTTGGGAGGGTGGAGAGACAGCGCAGGAGGGGAAGACCCTCTATGAGACGGATTGATTCGGTGACTGGGGTAATCGGGATGGGTGTATCAGATGCGGTGCGGTTGGCGCAGGATAGAGCAGGGTTTAGAGCTATTGTGCATAGGGTCGCTATAAGTCGGAAACGACTCGATGGCATATAACAACAACAACAACAATGAAAAAAAAATCCAGTAAGTCCTCTATTTCATTTTAGAAGGTAAGTAAGAGTTCTGCAACTTATTTTATAAAACTATTCATTATAGAAATTACAATGAAATCTAAAAAAAAAATAATCCACATAATCTAGAAAGCCACATACAGCAGTTTCTACCCTCCACCCCAAAATCCCTGTATATATATAAACTACCAAACCACAACTTCTTTTTTAAAGAATATATTACTTCTGTAGTAACGTAGGATGCATCTTCCATGTCACAATATTACTCAAGAAAATCCCTCAAACTCATAGCTACCGAGATGGAATTAACTCACAGCTGACCTATCAGTGGGTTTTCGGAAGGCTGTAAAATCACAGAGGCGAAAATTGCTCATCTTTCTCCCTTGGAGCCACTGGTGGATATAAACCACCAGAATCAGGATTATCAGTGCAGTCCCTAAAGACTACAGCACCAGAGCTCACTTGTGGTAAGTCACTATCATATTATTTCTAAGTGAGAATTAAGAATAAAGTAGAACTCAGAATAGTATAGGTTTTAACAGTATCTCTGACAAGTTTCTTTCTCAACTTCTTTTATTATCAACTGTCTGTAGTATATCCACAAGCTCCCCATCCCTTTCTACAGTAGTAGAAAGCAGAAAGTAGAAACTGGAAACCTTCTGAAAGCAATGATTTTGACAATTCTGTTTCTAGTGATGCGTAAGAATGTTTTCATTCCAAAAAAGATAAATATAATCCATTTCAATATGGAACTCAAAGCCTTCCCAAATCAGTAAGATTTCCTACTATACTATTCTTAATACCATAGTCTAGCCCATGTGTAATCATAATCAAGATTGGTTACTTTCTACTGCTGTTGTTATGTGCTGCTGAGATGGAATCAACTCTCAGATGAACCTCCAGTGGCTGTAAACCACACTGAAGGAGACTGCCCATCTTTTTCCAGTGGAACAAATGGTGGCTTTGCTCAACATACAAGTCCTTACCCCTTGGCCACCAGTATTCTCTGATAGTACATGTTTCTACATTTTAAAACCAGGCTTTTAAAAAAGGTTTTGGTAAAACTTATTTAACATTCTTGAGTCCTTCTTCTTATGTTCCAGTGACAGTTGTAAATTCTGGAGACACAACATAGAATAAGACACGGTTCTTGCCCTCAAAATGCTCTAGGTCTATTTTGAAACCTTTCCTTATACTTTTTGTGGAAGTAGATTTCTTCTTTTTCTAAGTAATTAACATTTTAAATGCTTAACAGACATGTAATTCATTAAATTTTTTCGAGTATGTATTTTCATTTCAAAAAATGAGGGCTTTAAGCTTTTTAGGGGCAGAAACCATGTCACTATTCAAGAACATTGCTTTTTTTATATAACAGATGATCAAATTATTTTGCTGACTGAAATGTTAGAAGAAAAAAATCTTAATAATGTTTATCTATATTATAAAATTACCTTATTCTTCAGAAAAATTATTTACAATACATTTAAGAATAAAAATATATCTAATAGTCAAAGGTTAGCAATTGAAGCCAAAAAAAGAAAGCTAACTTTTTATAAACAGAAAACAGAAAATGCTTCTCAAACAGCAAAGGCAAACAACTGAAAAGAAAAAAATTAAAACATAAAATTTGTATTTTTTTAACATATAAAAGAAATCAATAATTATAAATAAGTAGCTAAAATATAACTTATTACTCAAAAGCAATATAAGAAAATATAATTCTGTTGGAGACTGAAAAATCCAAATCACTAACCTCATTAATTCTTCTACTTTATCATCTACGTCAAGGTCTTCTTCAGAGGCCTCAAAACTGTATGACCTCTGACCCATGCTGTTTGCATGATAACGAGTTGGTGACATCTTTCCATTGGAGGTGGACAATCGCTCATTATTTTCCCTCCCATTCTGATTGGTAGTGCAAGGCTGTGGGGAGGTATCGTAACTATTGCTGGGTGAAGGAGACATTCCCGAATGCTGGGTCTGTGTGGAAGCTGTAGCTGTAGAGGAAGATGCTGGAACATTGTTGGTACTATTTCCATATGAACTTCCTCCATAACTGGACCTTCTTCCAAACTTGTCACTATGCTCTTGGTCGAGACGTTCTAAAGTTTCCAAAGCATGGAGAATTTCATGCTTAGTCATTCCAGTACATCGAAGACGCTGAAGCAGATCTATCTGCTCTATGGTAAATCTGGGTTCATCTGTATAGTGAGACATGGTTTCCAGCAAACTAAAGAGGGGGGAGAAAAAAGAGGGAGAAAAGAAATCCCTTTATTTACATTCATCTACCCAAGAACATATTATAGAGAATGTTCAGCGTAAGATGATGAATATCTCTACATATAAAAGTACATCAACTTCTTTATTGAAAATAGTAAGATGAGTCATATAGTAGGCAGGTTTTGCCATGGCAAATGGAATGGTTGAGATATTGAGTTTACTAGTTGATCGATATTGTTATTAGGTGGTGGTGGTGTTATAAGGTGACATCCATCAATGCTGACTCATGTTAACCCTATGTAAAACAGAACAACGTTTGATCCTGTGTCATCCTTAAAATCACTGCTGTGTCTGAGCTCAATGTTGCAGCCTCTGTGTCAATCCATCTAACTGAAGAGCTGCCTCTTTCTCACTGGCATTAGAACATAAAACTCAATGGCATGATACACAACTTACATTTCCCTCAATTTTGGTAAATACTGGAACCAAAGTTTCAGATTATTTACATAACGTGCATTAAGCCCAAAATACACAATAACTCACTGATGGGCTTTACTACGAATGTACAACTCTATATTAGAACAGCAATGAAGTATTGCAGAAAAAGAAATGTGTTCTCATTTCTTACTAAACAAATATGAGCAAAAGGTAAGTTAGAAATTATGTAACATTATCAGTGGTAATAACGATTCTCTAAACTATACTCAAGCATCAAATTAATACTGGTTTAACAATTTAAACATTATTTCATTTACTACTTAGTAATTTCATGAATACTCTATATCTGTATAAAAAATACTCTACTAAAAGTTATCCCCCTAAAAGAAACTAGTGCAATGTTTTTCTTAGGAGATGGTTTCTGCAACATACTTCTTTAAATTAGCATAACAACAGAAATTATGCTACCAATCCAAGTTTTAATCTGCAGCCCTCAGGCCAGGTTTTAATTGTTTTTGGCCACACATTCTTCTAAGTCCTATAACAATGGTCTGTCCATTCGCTGTGCTGTACACAGGTAGCTTGTGGTTGCTGTGATGCTAAACACTGTGACACTGATGTGTCAAATGCGATAATGATTTTCCATGGTGGACAGTGTTTGGTGGAGCTCCCCAATAAAAACAAGCTTGGAAGTAAAGAGTGGCATCCACTTCTGAAATAGCTTGCCTCCAAAAACTCGGAGAAACAATAAAAATTATACAAGTGATCAGGTCTTTTGTTCATAAGATTGCTATAAATTGTCTACGACTCTACTGCACATAACAAAAACAACAACTACAGCACACCAAAAAAGGTCTTCAGACTGCATGCACAATATTGAGATCTATCAAATACAAAAATTCTTACCATGTGAAATATTTTATATAAAACCCAGTATTCCAATTTAAGATTTTTAAAGTGATGGTATCTTTCATTTTTATATTTCCAGTGATAAAGAAGGGAGCTCTCGTGGTACAGTTGCTAGTTGCTCCATGGGAGAAAAATGTGCAGTCTTTCCCTGTGCAGTTTATACTCTCTGCAAACACACTGGAAGTTCAGCTAAGAGTCATTTCTGACTCAACAGCAATGACAGAGAAAGTGTTAAACCAGCATTCTTTCATACTGCTTATTGATTAAAATAGATGCCAAAGAATTTCCTAATTCTTTACTGCTCAGAACTGGTTCCTTTTAGCTGTAAAAGATTTTATTATTTCTTCATTCTTCTGCTAAGGAATTACTGAAAATTCACTTCTCATCTACTCCTCACAACCACTTTTTGTGATAAGACATTCTTATTCACTGTGGATGGACTGATGGAGAACACTTATATCACACAGATTTTTACTTTTCAGAGTCTGAGTAAAATGGAGAGACATGACTTAACCTAGTTCTTACTGATTCTAAAAGTATGCCTCATTCTGCTTTTCAGTAAATAATAAGTACAACAATACATACCAGTTTAGTGTTTAATAAGCTAGAATATAACAAAATATGACAACTAAGGTATGTAAAAATAAACTAAGAAAAAACTACTCTGCTGATAAAGGTGCTAGTAATAGTTTACATTAAAAGTCTTTATTCCAGGCAAGCTCTGGTGGCCTAGTGGCAAGAAGCTGCACTGCAATTTCAGAGGTGAGTGGTTCGAATCCACCTGATGCTCTATTGGAGAAAGAAGGACAATCTTTTCCTGTACCAGTCAGATCCAATTTGATGGTACACACACACACACACACACACACATAAATGTTTAAAAAAAAAATCTTGTTTTAAAAAAAATCTTTATCCTAGCTACAATTTACATGTACTTAATGAATATGAAAATTATTTGAACTTTATTTTTGGCTGAAATGGACAGCTAGTTGTCTCAAGTAATTTATTACAGGACAAAGCTCTTGACCTTTGATCTATAAAGTTACCTTGATCATTTACAAATCTGAAATTACATCTGGTTTCTCTAGTCTATTCCACTGATTTTTTTTTGTTTGTTTTTAAACTTTCAAATCCATTTCAAAATCTCTTTTTGTTCCTAAGTAGGCTTCAACTCCTAGCTGACTCTCAGCTGGTTTCCAAGGCTGTAAATCTCTCATAAAGAGAACATCCATCTTTCACCCAAGGAACTAGAGCACTTGGTGGACTGAAACAGCCAGCAACAGGGCCTTTGGGCTGGCAGTACAGATCTCTTAAGAACACTGACAACAGAGTACTTTCTTTCAAAAACAGGAAAGGCTAATTTAGAAATAAATAAAATTAACTCTATACAGAAACGCTAATAAGCAAATATATGTTAATCTATTGGTATTGTTAATTTATTAATTATATAATTTAATTTTAATAGTATAAAATATAATAGTTAAATAAATAGGTCTTAGGAATTTATTAAAATTTATTTATATCCTAGATTTCATGGTTGTATGGCTTAATAATGAAATTGTCTTTGCAAAAATATTATACAGTAAAAGAGAAAAGCCAACTGGTGAAAAACTTGTTGCATTTAATATTGTTAAAAGAACTACAATGCAGCAAGCAACAAATGCTGGCGAGGTTGTGGTGAAACAGGAACCCTTATTCACTGTTGATGGAAGTGTAAAATGGTGCAACCACTATGGAAAGTGGTATGGTGCTTTCTCAAAAAGTTGCAAATAAAGATACCATTTGATCCAGCAATTCCACTACTGGGAATATACCCTAAAGAGACCATAACAGACATCCAAGCAGACTATGCACACTCATGTTTATCGCAGCTTTGTTCACAATAGCAAGGAGTTGGAAACAAACCTGATGCCCATCAAAAAACGCATGGACAGAGAAGCTGTGATCTATTCACACAATGGAATACTACACTGCATTGAACAACAAAGGAACTCATACAATATTATTAAAAATGGGTGACCCTGGAGGACATTATACTGAGTGAAATATCTCAGTCACTAAAGGACAAATACTGCATGATGCCACTGTTGTAGAATGAGACTGACATCAGGGTTGGGGTAAGACTGAGAAAAACTGGATAACTAATGTATACTGCATTGAAACAGATGAGGGAGAGAATAATTTAAAAGCTATATATGATAGGGTATTATGGTTATCACAGAGTCAAGAATTAAGGTAGCATAGTGGAGTGTACTTGGAGCAGTGGGAAGGGTGCGGGGGTACTGTATAGCAGTGAAAGAATTTTTCTTTTGTTTTTCAAAAAGAGGAGTGAACTGCGGTGGGGGGGGGGCTGGGCAGGGAGAAAAGTGCAACAATGAATGAATGGAAATCCAAAATCTCTGTAAATGTTCATTAGAATTAATAAAATAAAATTTTAAAAAAAGAACTACAATGAATCTTCCAAGTTTTATGACTAAAACAACAGAGGGAAAATTATAAAACATCTTTGGACTATTACCTAGAGGTAAATTATTGTTTGGCTGAAGTTAATAAAAAATAGCTACTGCAGTACATTGCCATGGGACAGCAGAAAATCCAAGTTCAATTTAGAGAGGGCTGTAGAACAAGAACACCTTTGTTAATCTCAAATGGGTATTGGACGAATGTAGAGGATATAAAAAAGAAGTTTATCTGTGTTTTAATGATCATGCAAGGGTAGCAGATCATGACAATCTCAACAATTTATGGACAACACCACTAGAACAGGAGTTCCACAACATTTAAATGTGCTTGTACGGAACCTGCTTATAGGCCAAGGGCAGTCACTGAAACTTAACTGAGTAATTTAAAATCAGGAAATGATAAATTTTGTCAGGACTCTAGCCTCTCACCATACTTATTAAATCTGAATGCTGAATAAATAATTCAAGAAACTAGACTACAAGAAGAACAGGGCATCAGGATTGGATTAAGACTCAGGGTTAGAGAAAGACTCATTAACACTCTGGATACACAAATGATAAAATCTTGTCTGCTCAAATACTGTATATGACCATTACTGTAGAATGTATATAAGGATACAATGGGGGGGGGGGGAACAGAGAGAGGAGGACAGCAGGGGCATGGGGTGACTAATCACAATTTGATGGGTGGAGGGAAGGATGGTAAAGGAAACGGGAAAGATCACATGTAAAAAACAATGTATACGACCAGTATAAAATAAAAAAATTATTTTAAAAAATCTTTCTGTTGAACACAAAAATTACATGCACTTATGGATTACACCTGAGCGTAAAGAAGGCAAAAATCTTCATAACCGGACCAGTATACAACAACATGATAAACTGAAGACTGAAACTACCAAGGATTTAATTTAATTGGACTGATGAGACTCATCAAAGAACATAAATTTTCAAATAAAAACAAGAAAAATTACAAAAAGTTTCGGGAGTGCTCTCCAATTAAAATGTTGAATTTTTAGCATTGCAAAAATATCTGCAAAACATTTACCTAAAATAAGACTATCTAGAACATATGAAAACTCTCAAAATATACTATGTAGAACATATAAAGGCTCAAAATGTAATAAAAGCCACCTCTTTATTAGACCTGCTCGTGGGGACCTTACCTTTATTCTTCTGCAAGACACAAAGGCCTGTGTGA